AGCCAGTTGCACCTGTTGCACCATATAAAGAGGACAGTTTTATTTCATCATCGGAGTTGATGGAAAGTGCATCAGTTGAGGTGAAGTTTAATTTCGAGGCTTGAGTAAGTAAAGGAGAACAAGGGAAACCAAGGGAATACAAAGCAGCATCAACAACAATACGCTTCTTGAAAGGTTGTTTCATATTCTTCCATGATTTCTTTGACTAAGCAATTTTATCCATCCCGTCGACGTCTTGGTCAGCAGGTTTCAGTGGAGTCGCTTGACCAGCTTCCAACGGAGCATCATTTTCACTTTCACCATCAGTACCTCATGCTCTCCCATACTTCAAATAACAAATAAAGAACACATTCTGCGGATATAATTTCTAGCGATTCCCTATTTCAAACAGTGGTAGCTGCAGTACAACACTCTTCAGCCTCATCATCGACTACAAACAACTCTTGATCTTCATCTTTGTAGTCNCAGTCTGCTTGTCCTCGGCTTTGGACTTCATAGCAGATCCAATCTTGGACCATTTCTGACTCAACCTTGCCTTCCATTTGGCTTTCAGTTTCAAGTCACTTGCAACAGGGACAGTTTCAGGAGGAGCCAAGCACGTCTCTTCACAATCAGCAACATTTTCATTCTCATTGCTGTTGTTGCTGTTGTTGTCGACTGACTTCAATTGCTGTTCACCCTCACTTTTTTCCAATTCAGGAGGAGACTTTTTCTCGGTCGGGATTTCTCGCGGTTCAACATCGACAGGATCAGGTACTTCTGGTATGAAGTAATCCAAGGACAAGATATCAGATGAAAATGATTTCTCAGGAGATCAGAAGAAAGCCATTGTTTTCAAACTTAAAATCGATTATACTCACCTCCGAAAGGACGATGTTGAAAACGAAGGTTGATGGGACTGAAATGGAAGAGATACAGATCGGAAACATTTTCCACGTAAAACTCAGTTCGTGATCTGCTTGATTTTCCTGTAGAGTCTTGTGTAGATGTATAAAATATATACTGAGTCAGTTCAAGTCAGGTACTTCCGGCTCGTCCAGCTTATCCCCTGTCACACTTAATGGGGCTTCGGAGCTGGTGATCTTTTCATCTGGTGCGTCTTTTGTGCAACTCAATGGTGTTTCAAAACAAATTTTTGACTCATCAGATTCGTCTCTTGCCGGAATGTTGCATTCATCCTGCAATCCAAATTGAACCTTGTTATCAACGGGAACTTCAATCATCTCAGTTTTCGAATTCGAGGTGATGTGTTGCT